CAGAGTTGGGAAATTCAAAATATTATTAGATCCATTGCAATTATTTTGACAGGAATTTATGGCACCTTAAAATGTACAAGGCACACATGACATTATTTTGGGGGTAAGTGAGCAAAACACTTCAAACCAAGGGAAAGCCTTTGCTATGAGAGCCTTGCCCTGGGAGTACGTCAGCGTGCTCCTGGGGCTGGAAAGCCTTAGGGAGCTGCAGCTGTAACTCTGGTCATTTTGTCAGGAATTCTTGAGTCAACATAGCAACCACAGCCATTGCAACTGGGGGCCTGGATGCTCAGGTCTCCAACTGTTCCACATCCTGCCTGAGAGCTATGACCCAAGGTGCTCTTCGGGATGCCAGGGAGTCAGGCTCCCCTCATCACCAGCTCGTGGGAGCCCCGCTGACCTCAGCCTCATCCCCCTTGCTGTCTCTCTCTGGTGGGACATACTTCTGGAGGGCAGAGACTCCTCCACTTCCCTGTAGCCCTCCTTCTGAGGGGAGAGGACAGAGCAGAGCCATTAGAGAGCAGCCTGGAGCTGTCTGACCTGCAACGTCAAGCCTACCACTTAATTTACTTATTGGTCACCAGAGGGCCAAGTTATTACACTGCTGAGTGCCTCAGTTTTCCTACCAATTCAACAGTGATATATAACTGAGCCAGGTTCTGGGATAAAGAGGACTAAATGCAATACTGAACTGGCCTTACAAGAGTTGGTTAAGTGGCATGATTATGATGATTAAGTAGAAAACTTAAAACTTTCACAAGTGAACTCAAGAAAGGAAAAGGTGGGGTTCAGCACACAGGATGCTCCCCACTTCAATGGAGCAGGAAGGGCTCGCTGAACACCTCCCACTCCACAGTGCCTGGATTGGGCTCTGCAGCCCCCTCTGCTCCCAGCGAGGCTGGCTGTTCATCTCCTCTAACAAGGTCTACACCTTGGTCCTGCCTCCTAGGTCACCCTCATAGCTGGGGTTCCCCACACCGAGGCTCACCCCAGCACCCTCGAGTCATCACAGACGGGAACAGGACTCTGCAAACCTCCTTCCCTGAATGTCGCTGGGGAGCGAGGGCGTGGAGACTGCAGAGGCTGGAGGCTGAGTGCCAGGGGCCTACCAGAAGCCAGTAAACTTACCTGATAATTGAATGGATGAATGAGGACCGGTTAGGCTTAGCGTCGACGTCATCATCGACGTCATCATCGATCTCCTCTTCCACCACAGTTGTTTCCTCATCTGACATCTGGGGAGAGGGAAGCAAACCTGTAAGTTGGCACCCAGGCCAACCCAGGCATTATGGTCTTAGGATATTTGTATTTATTTAAGCCTAAAGAGGAACAGTCTTGCCTGTTCTGGCTGCAGGGCTACTTCACCAAATGTTGCGTGCCCACACTATTTCAGGCATCCATCTGTAGACTGGGCACCCAGCAGTAAAGTAAGCCAATTCCTCGCCCTCAGGGAGCTTCTCATCCAGCATTCACAGTCTTGTAGACATTTACTGAGTACGAGAGACTGGAAGGTCTGTCTGGGTCTGCAACAAGAAACTCCCCCTAAGATCCTGCCTAGCCTTGGACTGACATCACTCAAGCCTGGAACCAGCAGCAACCCAGGGCCAAAAGCTGTCTTTCTGTTTCAGATGATTTTATATGGTGCTACCCCAAATTATTTTCCTAGCCGGCAGATAGAGGTCTGCACTTTGATTCTTCAAGAATCTTCACGAGGCCTCTATTATGTAAATGTTCAGCACTAGCTGACAAACTCCAAGTTTTTAAAAATAAACCACCAAATTTTTAAAAATAAAGTTGTATTGGGATATTGCAAGTCCACTCACAACTGTCCATGGCCACTTTCCTGTCCCAACTGGAGTTGAGGAGAGTGATACAGATTACATGACCCACAAAACCTCGACTATTTACTATCTGGCCTATACCAAAAACATGTCCACAACCCAGTCCAGACACTCTCAGCTACTACTGCTCTGCAAAGAACACATAAAACAACAGAAACTCACATTTATTATGTACTGGCTACTTCTCTACAAGCACCACCTTATTTTATTCCCTCCATGCTGCGGCTAGGTCAGCCCTGTGAACGCTGCCTTTTGACACATCAGGAAGCTCCGGCTGGAAAAGGCTAGGTAACTTGTCCCAAGTCCAACAGCTGGCAACAGGGGGACTATGATCTGCAGCCAGCACAGCACCCCATTACCTACTTTTGCTTTACTGCCCTATTTGGTTTCCTGGCTAACAACTATCACAAGGCGTACAACGCCCATTTCAGCCTTCACTCGGGCTAAAGGCTCTTTGCCTGAAAGCCACCACCCATGTTGGCTGGCCAGATAATCTAAAGATCTTCTGAACTGCAAAGACTTTTAAGTGGCAACTCCTCATAGGTGTAACCAGCCCCATTCCTTTTACGTCCAAATATTGGGCCAATAATTGGTTATCTGCATTCTGCTTATTGCTTAGTTCAAACACAAAGGTGTGACTGTCTCTCACTGAGTCAATAGCAACTGATTGGAGAGCTGCAAGGAACAATCCACCCAGGGAAGAGAATTAGCTAAAGGAAACCCACTGGTCAGAAGCAGAATTGTCCTAGAGTCATTTCTCCTAAATCCAGCCCCCCAACTTCCCTGTGAAAAGACCACTTTCAGCCTTAAAAAGAAACCTCTCAGATTGATTTCTGCTGGTCTCATCTCTGGGCAAATGCAGAGCGCAGAGCACAGAACATCTATGTGACAGATGTTACACCCTGGAGCACCAGGTGGGAAGAAAGAATCCAGTTTGTGGAGGTGTCCAAGGGAGCAATTCTTGGGTGCCATTCTCACATCACCTTCCCGCCCTTCTTCGGTGTGATCTGGGCACTGAGGACAGGAGAGGGAGACACATCCAGAGGCCAGGCATCCACAGGACCGAGAAGTCAGGCGCCATCTTGCTTGTCAACACTTCGTGAATCCCCACCACTGCCTCCAGCATATGGTGCCGGGGGGCAGTTTTCAGAAGAGAACCCAAAATGTTTCTCAAAAGCAGAGAGTCTCCCTATCCCAGAGGAGATCAGCCTATGTCCTGGCAAGTAAAAGACCCCTGGCAGCCTTTACTTCATCTCCTCACACAGACTTGGTTACTTTCAACATGGATTGTTATTACAAAGCACAGAAATATTTCCAAAATTAACAAGTTAAAGTAATGTAAATCTACCAGAAAAGGATACAGTGACATGAGGTATTTCAGCCTTGACCTGTTAATAATGCTCATCTTAAAGGTTGAATCTAGCATGGATGCTGATCAAACAGGTAACTGCTTAAAACAAGAGAAGATTCTAGGCCAACGGCCCCAAAAAAGCCAATCATTTGCTTTAATATTATTGGGGCCATGGAGAGTAATTCTGGAGACTTCTCTTTGCTCATTCAATGAACACGTACAGGAACTCTACCAATGGAGCCCTATGGCAGGCATTGGGGATATACCTGGTGGCCAGCTGACCTGGTCATGTGTCATCGGGGGACAGATAAGAGGATGCCACTAATGTCAGGCTACAAACCAGTGGCCACACCAGGGGATCTGACTGAGCTGCAGAGGAATTCGGGGACCATCTAAGGGGACCTGACAAAGGGAAGCTGTGAGGGAGAAGGCTGAGCTGACTGGGCTCAGCAGATCTCCAGCCTGTGCTATCAAAGGAGGGGTCAGCTTCAACTCCTCCTTTCTTGTCGCTCTGAGGAAGCGTTGGACTTAATTATGCAGGCTGACTTCTATAGTTCACTGGTGCCAGGCTTTCCAGAGTTTTCCTTTCAAATACTAGGACAGAAGGAGCTTCTGTTCGAAGCCCACAGCATCTTCCTGGTAGCTGCTGAGCATCATGAGGGAGCAGCAAGCATCCCTTCTGACAACCTGCCAGAGTGGGTATCTGGAACAAATCAGTGTGTGTGGTGGGGGGAGGCAAACTCTTGATTCTGCTTACGGATTGTTCAGAACTAATCAATTCATCAAACAAGATCTGGCTTTGTTGACTCCTATGGCCACTCATTCCACTGCCTGCCATGAAAATCCAGGCCCCTACAGCTGGGCCTTCCTGGAGCATGCCTGGCCCTATTTTCCTGTCCCACCCCTTTTGTAAGCTGGGGCTGCCAAGAGCAATCATTCATGAGGCACTGCTTATTTAATGATTAAGCATACGTATCTTCTCTTTAAATGCATACAGGACACACATAAAGCACTGTCAGTGGAGTGCAGGGACTCCCCATTAATGGTTATTATAATTATTACTCTTCCTCCATTAGGCTTTTTAAGGACAGTTGACTCTTGCACACCACCAGTTTGAACTGAGTGGGTTCATGGATAAAGGATTTTTTTTCTACTCACTGGTTCAACCAACTGCCCCCAATGCTGGTGGCTGTTTCAGGGATGTGGCCAACTCTAAGTTATACTTGACAGCAAGGGAGGTCGATAAGCCCCCTGAAAGCTCTCGTCTCCCCTAGAAAGACAGTCTCCTGGAAGAGCTGGAAGAGAAGCAGGGGGAGGTGGACTTCTCCACTCTAGCACTTGAAGGAGGAGGGGGCCCTGCTGGGCACTCAACTCCAGGTCACCTGATGATTTGGCCACTGTGAGGTCCTGGAGGAAGAACAACTTCTCTTTTTTGAAAGAGGTTAAAGAACTTTCCATGCAGTTGGCCTGGGGGTGAACTCTGAACTAGGCCTAGGCGGTGGCCTGAAAACGGGTATCTGTACTGATAGGGAAGACAGAATAAAAGGCAGGCGGGCGGGAGGTCAGTCCCCAAGGAGGAAACAGCCTTCAGGGAAGCAAAGGCTAGAACAGCCTTGCATGGGTTCAAGGGAGCGTTTTTTAGGATTGACTCACATCACCACATCACCAATGACTGAACTTGAATTTGAGTACAAGTGATCTTACTACCCCATAAATGGCAAAGCTGAACGAAGGGGAAAGGCTGGAAGGCTGCCTGAGCCTGGGATCCCACCTTTTTTTCACTTCCTGGAGGGATCTTCAAGAACCTGTGCAAGGGTACCCCGACACTAAGGGTACCCCAACACTAAACCCTCACCTGGGCACTGTGCTGCATCAAAATCACCTATCTCCACAGGAAACTTCGCCAGGGTCATTATTCTCCCCATTTAACAGAAGAAGCTTTGGGTAGACAGGGCCTAGGACCCCAGGCTGACAGGCAGCGGGGTGGGGTGGGGGGGGGTTGGGGGAATGAGGGGGTGGGGTGAGGTTGGGGGAGTGAGGGGGTGGGGGCAGGGGCAGAGCAGTGAACCCAAGCCCCTCTGGCTCGGAGCCCCGACTGCTAGCCTGGGAACTAAAGAGCCTCTCTTTGCCGTCTAACTCCATCTCGCCTTTCTTTTCCAAAGCCCCAAGAGTAAGGGACGTCCCAAGCCCGTTAGCTAGGGAGGATGAACCCAGCGACGCCGCGTGGCGCAGAGAACCCTCTTCCCAAAGTTCCTCCGCCCGCCCTCGGGGCAGCCGGGACCCCCAAGCCGGGCTGCGCTCCGCCTGGGTGGGGGAGCCGGCGGGGGCGCGCGGCGTAGGCGGGGAAGCAGCGCGGCGCGCGGCGGGAAGCGCAGCGGCGGGAGTTACCGTTCCCACGGGCGTCGGGGCTGCGGGACCTCGCGGCTGTCTCAGTCCAGGGCCGGGAGGGTCTGGGGCCGCTCGGACAAAGCGAAAGTAAAAGCTGCACCGCTGCAGGGGGAGGAGCCGCCTCCCGCCGGACGCGGATCAGGCGGGGCTCGGCGCGCCGCCCCCGGCGTCTCGCTCCGCAAAGTTGACGGCGAGTTAGACGCCCCAACGCTGCCGGCGTCGCGGGCGAGCGCGCCCTGCAGAACGGGCCGAGCGCCGCCGTCGCGCCCCGTTGCGCCACCAGGGGGCGACCCTGCAGCCCGGGAAAGCTCCCTGTGCAAATTGGGATGCGCGCACCCGAGAGCCTGAGGCGCGAATTTGCGGGGATGTGAGGGTTCCTGTCGCTCCACCCGTAGTTCCCCGAGAAGCACATTTAGCAGAAATGACCGTGCTCAGTGAGCCCAGAGCGCGCCCTGCAAACCCCGAGCCCCGAAATTGAAGGGCGCCTAGCAGACTTCCCGGCCCGCGACCAAGGAGGGCTCGCAGAGTGCCGCCTCCTATTGCCTCGAGTAAGGTGTTCGCAGGAGTCTGGGGGCCCCGTTCCCTCAGCCCCCGGCGTCCCGGCCCGGCCCTTAGCCCTTAGCCTGGCAGGGCTCAGCCCCCCGGACTGGGCGCCCGCCTCTGCGCAAGTTGCCAGCCAAGGCGCAGCCTCTTGGCCCGGCTGGGGTGTGCGGTGGTTCCCCGCCGCCCGGGAGTGGTTTCCACTCGAAGAAGCGCTTTCTCTGGGGTTTCCAAGTTCCCAACACAACCCGCTTTTCTGGATTTAGCGCCAGAACCATTTTTGAACTATATATTGAGCGCCCCCATGTGGAAGCCGCTGGGTACTGTCGCAGGTTAGTCAGATGGCAGAGGCCGCCTCGCAGGGATTCTGCTGCACTCTCCGCGTCCCGCCATCGGGGCCTCCCACCCCCACACTAGTTTTTCTTCATCCTGGGTCCTCCAACCTAGGCCGCCAATGCTTTTCTCTCCAGGACGTCTCAGGGGAACAACTAGGGAACGCAGAGGTACAAGTGTCTGAGAACAAATGACAGTTTTATTC